CGTTTCTGTTGCGTGAAATATATTCTGAAACCTTCAAAATATATGATGATATATGTGGCGATATACAGTATATGGTCGTATATATGAGTATGTCGATGAACTACAACCGCCAACTCTTAGCGGGAAAATGGATATTCTGAAGATCGTGAAACGTTTGCGGACTGTATGGTTGCTTGAATTAATTATATATCAGAAGTTATTATTTGTGTCGACTGCGTGAATATAGACTCCTCCAGAAACATTAAACCTTGTGTATGTCATAAGGTCATCAGATCCAAAATATAAAACAACGATATATTTTCTAAAAACAGCAACACATTTTATATCAACAATATACATGAATGAAGAATGAATTTACTCAGGCAATTTGAAATGAGTTGAAAATTGTTACAAAGTGTATGATAATATGCAGCATTTATAATTAATAATAGAGCAGGAGTTATTCCCCTTGAACTGGAAATTCTTAAAGCCTTTAAAGAGGAAATATTTTTATCTGGACTCACAGAAAAAGATTTCAGTTCAAGAAATAATAGTAAGTTTTAATGGAAAGAATGTTCTTCGATAAGGTGTTGTAGGCTGGAAAAGTTTGGGCTGAGTTCAAAGAAACTTGTTGATTGAGAGATAATGTAATCTTCACTTGAATATCGAAAAGTTGAATTAACTTGCCGCTTAGATAATTCGGCGAAAAAAGTTGAATATGAGTGAAAGAATTATGGAAAGCTGTAAATATGTTGAATCGTAACTTATAGCTCCAGAAGATTTTGAATTAAAATGGTGAATATTGACAACAGGCGAAAGTTGTATTCTTGTCGCGGCCGCTCACTAAGACGGAAGAGAACAGGGCTCTCTGACCTAGACCTTTTGATCGTGATCCCTACACGTTGGTAATTTAGTCTCATTTGGTTTTTGAAACTCATTTTTAGAGATATTTTTTTTCAGCATTTTTGCGTGACCGTGTCTGTTGTTGGTCTTCCTTAACAACACAGCGACTTCTCGCCGAATTCAAGGTCGGTACCCAGACGCCTGAACGGTCGGTACGCAGACTACTGGCCTTCGGGATCAGGACGCCGACCCAGGTTACGCATTAAGCTCTCTTTTTTTTTTTTGTTTGCCAACTTAACGAGAGTTGGATGTTTCTCTGTTTACTTCGCCTTCCTACTTCTGGCTCCTTGCCCATGTTCGATTCTCGGCATTCCGTCCCTAATGACTGCCCGCATGTCGTCCGAAACCTTCCCCGTGCACTATGTTTATGATTACTACGGCAGGTTTCGATATCAGACTCAACCAGCAGACACGCAACGCCAGCACTGGACATTCGATATGACTAACAACATCGCAACACCAGCTTCCCGGCACTGGCCAGATACCGTCGTCGATACCGAGCACTGCATCGCAACGCCAGCTGCCCGTTCCTGTCCGACACGTCCAGTCCGAAACCGGACCAGCTAACCAGCGGCGACCACCTGCAACGACCATCAGCGATCACCTACAGCGACTAGCAGCGATCAGGTACAGCGACCAGCAGGGATCACGATACAGCGACCAGCAGCGATCACCTGCAACCACCAGCAGCGATCAGCATTGATCACCTGTAGCGACCAAAGATAACCAGCGACGACCTGCAGCGATTATCTGCAACCACCAAACTTTCCCGTATACTAGCGGTTGTAATTACTACGGGAGGTTTCGACACGGAACTCGACCAGCTATGCCTGCACTGCCACGTCCAACCGTCGACACGACTGGAACGTGCGCAATCTCTTTCCAAACGTCGACACGACCGGAGGTCTCCACCTCGATATCAATCGTCGACACGACCGGAATGAACGCACCTCAGCATCCCGTCGTCGATCTCAACGTCCAACCGCCGACACGACCGGAACGTCTGCACCTCGACTCCAACCATCGACACGACCAGTCCAAACCTCGACACGACCAGTCCGACTACCATTACCACGATTGCCAGACAAATATACCCCACGGCTTCTCCTTTATACATAAACTTTGCATTAATCATATATATATCCTCGTTCTGTTGTCCATTTTGTTTCACCTTGTCAGATTTCACGTCTTTAATACGAAAACATTAGCCGGCCTCTTGTGACCTCAACATCCCCTTACGATACAGGGGGCACTCGGGCCGTGGTTTCATATCGCACCCCCTCCTCCAGGGGGTTCGCTACATTGTCTTGGACGGCATGTTTGTTCAGTAAAATCTCACTGTTAAAAGTTGAATAAATTTCTGTGTAACCCAGTAACCCACCAGCAGCGATCACCTACAGCGACCAGCATTGATCACCTGTAGCGACCAGAGACGTGCAAAGTTCGTACGTACGTGTTTGTGCGTGTGTCAGAGCATTTGAATAGCGTTTTCCCTTAAAGGGACAACCGCGAACTTTCTACAGAACTACATTGCTGAGGGTTTTAGAAGACACGAAAGAAAAAGAGAAGAAGATGTCTACAGATTTATAATGTTGTATGTCACGTGATAGGCTCGAAT